CAAAAGCTAAAACACACCCCCATGCATACACACCAATTATATTAAATAATCACTAAAGTTTCTTTGACCTGCTTAGATTATACAAAAGCAGAATGCTTGCTGTTTGTTAAACAACTTTGCCCTCTCTGGACCCAGAAAGCAAAGAATATTACCTAATGCCATACTTCTACTTAAATTGTCTCGGAAGGAGCTTATAATTGTAGAAAAGTTATGATCTAATCTTTCTTAAAGCAATAATCAAGACATTTGTCACGCCTGTACATTTTAACAAACCCTAGCGTATTTGCCAGTCACCTTGAAAGACGTGGATAATTGTCCATGGCAGTTATTAATAACTCCTATAAAACATATTTGAGGAAGAATAACAGTGAAATTCTTATCTTAGAGTATTTATGGGGTTTTCATTCATGCTACTTTTACTCCCTACCAGTACAGATGATCCAGAATTAACAGCAATGTTTTCTCATTAGGTATCAAAATATCTGCTCCCTACCACAATGAAAATGGCTTTAAGTTTTTTCTGTTTATACATATTATAAATACTAATTGAAAATGAAAATCAAAAAAGAGATTAAAAATGTAGAACTTAAAAATCACCTGAATTTCATCATCCTGATATAACCACCACCACCATTTTGATGATAATTCAGTTTAACTCTCTATGCACACACTCACATAGACACATATTTTATGTGAGCAGAATATCATACATGTTGTTTTCTAATGTGAATAACTTTTAAAAATAATTGTTTTCTCTTTTTCCTCCTGCATCTCTTCTTCTCTTAAATAACCAATGCCAACAACCAGATGTATATCCTTTCGAACCTTTATCTGGGCTCAGTGCGTCAAATACAAATATACATATGCACATACATACATATTGGTGAGGGAGGGAGAGTCATTATTCAGGTAACAATAGTAGGATCTTATTGTAGATGCTACTCTGCATCTTTTCTCATTTTACAGTGGAAATCCCTCCAAGTCAACTGGTATGAAACAAGTTCATTTTATTTAAATGGCTGACAATATTCTATGAAAAATATATTCTAGCATTCCCCTGTAGATAGATATTCCTTTTATTTCCTGAGCCAGAACCACCCAGCTGAGGCACTCTCAGATTCTTAACCCTCAGTAACAGTGTGAAATAATAAATGCTTGTTGTTTTTACCCTCTAAGTTTTGGGGTAATTTGTTACATAGCAATAGATGACTAATACAGTATTCAAGGCCAAAAGAAATATTAACAGTACCATTTATTAAGTAGTTAGGTCCAAGTATGTCCTGACAATTTAGTAGTCATTTGAAAAAATAACAGACATATATTAAAAGAAAAATACTTGTATTTCTACCTACCCTACTCATAACCCAACATGAGCTTTAAAGAGAAGTGTTTAGGGTTCATTCACTCTGGGGTGCCAGTCTCAAAACATGCTATATACATCCTAGCACCCATGCATACACTTATAGTCCTTCCTCATTCTGGGAAAGGCAAGCAGTAGCTGTGAGGCTTCAAGTTTGATTTCCACTCCTCTCTAGATAAACTGTACCATTACCTTCCTTATCTGCTTAAACTGCATATACTAAACATAATTAAAATTTCTTACTGACAGAGGCAAGCACTGTGAGCATCAAACAGTATCCTAACAACCAGTGACACCTTAGATCTGCGGAGTCTAATACATAGCCACTAGCCACCTGAGGCTATTTAATCTAACTTAATTAAAATTAAATAAAATTAACAATTGCATTCCTCATTTACACTAGCGTCATTTCAAGTGTTCAATAGTCAGCTGTGGCTAGCAGTCACCGTATCATACAGTGCAGATTACAGAATATTTTCATCACTAAAGAAAGTTTATTAGACGACACTATCCTAGAGGGTATTGAAATACTAAAAACCCCCTAAATGTCATACTTTTGTTTTTCTATTTGTTACTTAGATTTTTCTGTCTTCTCCCTCATGACACTTTGTCAGTTGTCAGCTTGCTGTTACTGTGCCTATCTTTTACAGCTATGCCCTGCCATGCACAAAGCTGCTTCCAGTTGCTAAAACCTGAAGAAATAATTAGAAGAAATAATTAACCAAATAGAATAACATTATATCCAAAGTAGATTCTAGGAAAGGCCCTTGGGATCTAAAATTTCATCACAATGATTTTGATTTTTCAGAGTCTTCTTGTCCTTTCTTTCTGATTCTCAGACCTGTGCAAGACATGGTAAACGAATTGTTAGTTACGGTACAGTCACTCCTCATTATTCATGGATTCCGTATTTGCAAATTCACCTATTTACTAAAACTTACTTGTGACACCAAAATCAATACTTGCAGTCATTCCCAGACACGTACAGAGCAGCAAAAAGTTTGAGTTGCCTGATGCACACTCTCTCAGCTGAGGTCAAACAAGGGACACCATGCCTTCTTGTTTTACCTCTTATATTATAAATAAGTTATCCTTTTCATGGTCTATGTGGTGCCACATTTTTTATATTTCTGTGCTTTCTGTTGGTGATTTTGCTGTCTAAAATGGTCCCCAAGTATAGTGCTGAAGTGCTGTTTAGTGTTTCTAAATGCAAGAAGGCCATGTGCCTTATGGAGAAAATAGAGGTGTTAGCTAATCTTTGTTCAGGCATGACTCATAGTGCTATTGGCTATGAGTTCAATGCTAATGAATAAACAATACATATAAAATAAGTTGTCTTTAAACAGAAACACACACAAAACAAGGTTATTTACTGATTGGTTAACAAAAATGTTGTGACCAGACCCTCACTGGAACCTAACTAACTCTGTGAGTTACAGTGAAAGATCCACCAGACTGGCAAAATCTAAAAATCAACCACAGAGGTGATGAGAAGAATAAAATGCACAGCAACTTTCATATACTGCCAGTGAGACAACAAAGTCTACAGTCATTTTGTAAAACAGTTTGCAATACCAGATATAAGTTGAACATACATATAGCTTATGATCCAGTAATTCTATTCCAAGGTATATACCCTGAAGAAACTCTTATACATGTGTATCAGGATACAAGATACAAGAATGTTCATAGCACCCTGTTCATAATAGCAAAAAAATACAAAAGCCTATCAACTGTAAAATGGATAAATCCATTTTGGCATACTCATGCATTGAAATACTAAACAGCAGTGAAAATTAAACTACAATTATACTGAGCCACATTAATAAATACCATGTTAAGCAAAAAAAAAAAAGAAAGTCATAGAAGATTTATAATGAGTGATTCAATCAGTATTATATTTATATAAAGTCAAAGCCAGACAAAACTTAAATCACAGGATATTTATAAATATATACATACATAATACTGTGAGAAAATGCTTAACAAAATATGAAATAATAGTTACTGGGGTGAAGATAGAGGATCAGACGTAAGATGGGGACCACAGGAGGCTTCAAAAGGTTGAGATTGTTTTCCATTTCTAAAGATGATTGATGAGGAAACAGGTATTTGTTTTATTATTTTTTATATTGTACAGTAGTACCCCCTTATCCACAAGGGGATAAGTTCCAAGACCCCCCCAGTGGATGCCTGAAACCACAGAGAGTACCAAACCCTAAATATACTGTGTTTTTTTCCTATACATACATATTCAAGGTGCAAGAGCAAACTAAGCACAAATTTCTTTTTCCTTCTTCACAATTTCACAGATAGAAGATTTGTTCTTACCACAGATCTTAGTCACCACAGCATATGATTTTTTTCTTTCCTTATTACGTCTAAAACTTTCACCTTTTCACTTACAGGAAGCACTTTACAGCTTCTCTTTGGCATATCCGAATTGCCAGCATCACCATTCTTGCACTTTAGGGCCGTTATTAAGTGAAATGAGGGTTACTTGAACACAAGCACTGTGATACTGTGACAGTCAATCAATGTGAAAACCAAGAGGGCTACTAAATAACTAAGGGGCAGTAGGATACACAGTGTAGATATGCTGGACAAAGGGATAATTCATGTCCTTGGCAGGATGGTGTGAGATTTCATCATGCTACTCAAAATGGTGTACAATTTAAAACTTACGGGTTATTTACTTCTAGAATTTTTCCATATAATATTTCTGGACTGCAGTTGACCATAGGTAACTGAAACCATGGAAAGCAAAACCGTGGATTAGGGGCAACTACTGTATACGTAAGTGGTGAATATATACTCTTTGGATGTATATTTTGCAATGAAACATTTACACACCAGGTGATCCAAAAAGGTATGCAAACAGTAAAAAACCAATATAAAAGTAAAAATAAGTACAGAGACTAGGTTTCCAAGAATCACACTAGAATAAAAAATAAAACTTTCTTTACCCACCTGCTTTACCTATCAGAGCATTCGTTTTATGAAGGATAAGCATTAATGCTGAAAGTGTATAACTGAAAAAATGATTTTTTAATTCAGATGACCTGAGACACAACTTGTCAAGAAAAGATTTTAGCTACTGGTCCTGACATCATCTAAATATATTACTTTAGTAAAATAACAAAATATATTAAGTTTATTTTCCCTAAAAGGCAGTCATTGAGTCACTGAGTCAAAGTTCAATTTACAAACATTTCCTTAAACATTTACAGAATGACTTGAAGTGCAGAAGTCACAAACTCTGCTCAGATCAGTACTCAGATAAGTTACTGCTTAGAACAGTAACAGCACCGTAACCAGTTCTTTTTAGTTAACATTTTCCTCGAAAGGTGTCAAAACATTTACTTTTGCATCATTAGTAATCCAGAGAAAATATAAAGTAGATTTTAAATGTTCTGGTAGACAAGTAAGAAGTCTACGTTTCATCAAATTCGACACTGCATTTGCCTATGAAATAAAAAATCTTCCAAAATTTGAACCAAAAAAGAACAAGAAATGAAAATTTACCTCACAATTTCAAAGACTGAATAAACTATTAACGGATTCCAGATAAGCAGTATCAATTAAGTGCCTATTTAAATTTTGACTTCTAAATGGTATCAGGCGCTATACACAATCTCACCTGGGGAGGATAGTTGCTCTCTGAAGACCACCTTGAAGATTGGTCATTTGGTTTATCCACTAAAATGTTCCTGAAATAAAGAAGAGGAAATTATAACAATTAATTTAAAGAATATATGAACATGAATAAACAAAAAGAGGAATAATCTAGCAGATGTTGAAACTATAAAGTTATATAATATCTGGAACTTGAACAAGAGAAAATGAAACAGAATAAGAAACACAGGAAATATCTAGTACATATAAGATTTTAAATATGATAAAGGTAGCATTTCAAACAATTGAGAAAAGCAAGAAAAATATAGTTCTACTTCACACCAAGTGACAAAATGAATTATAAATGTATTTAGGAATTTAAGGTAAAAACAAAGCTATAAAATACCTAATAATAAAATAAAATAACATATGTATATAATACATCCAATTATATTATATTGTTATATATCACATATATATGTATTTTATATAACATTACATATATACATTCATATATAATTATATTATCATTAATAATAATAATTTTTATATATATATATATATATATATATATATAAAATCAAGCTTTGGATCAAGAAAGTTTTTTAAATTCAGCACCAAAAGCAGAACTGTGGGTGAAAAAAGGAACAGATATAAGTAACTTTGGAAGATGATGCTTTCACTGGAAACTCTAAAGGTAAAGACAAACGAAACCATACATAAACCCTGTACTTTATTTGGTAAAGCTGTTTTTCATAGGGATATGGGTTAATTCTGAAACAATTTACATGTATACTGGGGTTGAACCATAAGTAAATGGATGGTAAATGGTGGAAGCCAAGCTTCTCAATTTGGAGTGGAAACTTACAGAAAATCAAGGGGAAGGAGGTTAGAATGAACCCAGTGGTACTGGACTAGAGTCAGAGCCATCAGTGTGAACTGATATTTAACTTAATATAGACATAGATAAATGGATTCAGAAGTAATTATAGAGATGTGTGTGTGCATTCACACACACACATAGTATTCCTAGCTGTGTTCACTAACGGACTAAAAGCAGTGACACTCCAGTAGAAATGAGCACACCCAGAACCCAGATCTTGGTTTCTACATACCACAGTCCAACAAAAGGAAACAGGGATTCTTGGGGAAGTAGCTGATTCTAGGGTTGGGGCAGGGAATTCAGAAGATAAGACTGGAGCATCTTGTAGTACTCAAAAAAACCACAGAAGAATAGCAGCATGTCAAAGGGACAGAGGAGCCAACATGAAAAAACTGAATGGCCAAAGCTGAAATAATTTAAACAAAATAAATAATGTAATATTAGATTATAACCCAAAGTATAAAATAAATATCCATGAGTCCATACTATAAAAGCCCCAGTCTAACTGTAATAAATATCAGACAAACTCAAATTGAGGAACATTCAACAAAAAAATATGACCAGTACTCCTCAAAACTCTCAAAATAAAGAAAAACGAGACTGAAAGACTTGTCACAGACCAGTGAGACATGACAACTACATGTGATGGTATCTTGGATGGGATCCTGGATCCGAAAGAGGACATTAATGGGAAAACTACTGAAATCCAAATAAAATGTGGAGTTTATGTAACAGTAATGTACCAGTGTTGGTATTTTAGTTGTGACAAATGTACCACGGTAATGCAATAGAAGAAATTAGGTGAGGGGCATATGGGAACTCTGTACTATCTCTGTAACTTTTCTGTAAGTCTAAAATCATTCTAAAATAAAAAGATATTTTTAAACAGTTAGATCTATACCTGGCACAGAGAAGGTACTTAATAAATGTCAAATAGATGTGTGAATGAATTATTTTTTAAAAAGCAGAACTATAAGGAAAAGAATTGCCTTTACATACACGTCTCACAAAGGTAAAACATCCATATATAAAATGACCTCAAACAAAATTAAAAGGCAAACAGCCAACTAGAAAAATAAAGGCAATGTAAAACATAAAAGGTTAATTGAAATTTGAATATTTAAAGAGCACTTAAACACAAATATTCCATATGAAATGGACAAAACCCAAATATTCAAAATTAATAATAACCAAAAACTGGATATTAAAACAAAGATATATGTTATCCCTATAAAAGTGGGCCCACACCCTCAAAAACATGTTTTAATCATAACCTCAGTTGTTGGCCAGAGCTGGTAAAAGGGCACTCTCATATTTTGCTGGAGGAATGCACATTGATACAACTTTTCAAGAGAGAATTTTAATATAATACCTATCAAAAACATTTCAAATGTGCATATTAAGCAAAAATGATGATGATGACAACCAGGACAAGAGCAATGACAATACTAGCATCTAACATTTCTGAGCTTTTATGACATTCCAGACACTGTTCTAAGTGCTTTCCATATATAAACTATTACCTTCAATGTACAGATTAAGAAACTGAGAGAGAGAAGTTAATTTGCCTGAAAGTACACAACTAAAAAGTAAGGATATAAACCTTAGGCAATCTGACTCCAAAACCAACACTCTTCATCACCACATGAAAAAGCCTCAGAATTCTCCTACTTCTTGAAACTTAACCTAAAAAATGAGTACAATTCATATGACTAATAAAGAATTCATATCTAAAACATGTAAAATATTGTTTCTAATTGAGAATAAGATGAACAGTAAAATGGAGAATGAGGAGAATGCATGTCACTGAAGATCATTAAAACAGGCAGTAAACAAGAACAACAAAAATTTCTCTAAATCCAGCGCTGGCCCCATGGCTGAGTGGTTAAGTTCGTGTGCTCCACTTTGGCGGACCAGGTTTCAGGGGTTCGGATCCTGGGCGCTGACATGGCACCACTCCTCAGGCCATGCTGAGGTGGCGTCCCACATAGCACAACCAGAGGCACACACACCTAGAATATACAGCTATGTATTGGAGGGCTTTAGGGAGAAGAAGGAAAAACAAAAAAGGAAGATTGGCAACAGTTGTTAGCTCAGGCGCCAATCTTAAAAAAAAAACAAAAAAAGTTGCAAAATAAATACCTTAAAAAAAAATTTCTCTAAATCCCTGTGTATTGTTTGTGTCAGGGAAAACAAATTAACATAAGAAGATATCCTTTTTCAAATTTTAAATGTATAGATTCTTTCCCCGAGCACTCTCAGAATCTATCTCATAAAAATAAAATCATCAGTACATAAGGATATATGAGCCTATTTAATCCAGCATTTTTTGTAGTAGCAGGGAAATGATTAGCCAAATTACAGAACATATATATCATGGAACATCATACTGCCATTATAAAGAATACTTCAGATCTAAACCAGCTAACTTGAACAAATTTCTGCAATGTGAGATATAAAGAAGCATATATGATTCTATTGTAAAAAAAAAAAACCAAACTATTATTGATATATATATTTGTATACAATTAAATTAACAAGCATATATGGTATGATCTAATTTGTACCAAATTATAGAGAACAAGCACAAATAATCCTAAAATGAAGCATAAGTACCATTAACGGATTTTACTTATTTTCTTATATTTGTCACATTGTTCAGATTTTTATAATAAACATTATTTATGTAAACAGTAAATTACTGTAAAAAATACTATGGTTGAGATGACAAACTTTCCATGTTTATGGCAAACTGACTACATTATCATCGGATGATCAAATCAGGCTCAACTTTTCCTTCTTTTTAAAGACATGGGAGGAGACAAAGAAGCAAGTAATACAGGCTGACTGCCTCTTAAAATTTTTGAGTGACACATCATCTCCCAAAACTTAAAGTCAACAGACTTACTTATTTTGTGTGTGTGAGGAGGACTGGTCCTGAGCTAATGTCTGCTGCCAATCTTCCTCTTTTTGCTTGAGGAAGATTGTCACTGGGCTAACACCTGTGCCAATCTTCCTCTATTTTATATGTGGGACATCACCACAGCATGGCTTGATGAGCAGTGTGCAGAGATGGAGCACACGAACTTAATCACTACGCCACCAGGCCGACCCCAACAGTAGATTATTTTTAATTCTCCCTCCTACATGTTCCTTCCATCAATCCATCTCCACTCTCTCCTGCAAGGCAAATGAAAAACTAGTTTCTAGCAGTGATATAAACACCAGCCCTTCATCAATGGGAACAGAGCCACTATGGTAGCATTCCATAAAACATGTTCTTTTTATTATCCTTCCTCATATACTTCCCAAAGACCTATAAAACCTACCATCACTACTGGTATAGCTTTTCCTTCTTCTAACTCTCAGGACTAAACAACAGACATTAACCTCTCATACCAAATATGTCAGTCACGACATCAGTTCACTATCTCCTGCTTCTAAAAGAAGAAATATCTCATTCACAGCCTCCACTGAAGGGGCAATCACAGGCAGCAGTGTTTTGTACCAGTCAGTTTCCCTTACAATTACCTCAATGACAGCCGATCTAGGCTGGCTAGTGACCTATGGCAGGAGATGGGATGGGCCAGTATGAAAATAAAATTATAAAGACAAAAAAAGTATAAGGAAACAGAACCAATGAAACACAAATGATTCACAGAGTAAGAATAAGAGATTGAACAGAAAGAATATCCAGTCAGTAGTCAGATAAGAATGTAGCAGACATAAAATAGAAAAGACTCCAGGGAACAACAGAGAATAGAAGCTGATGGCTTTTTAATTCCAGTTGCCTGAAGGCTCTGTTTCTGGCAACCAAAAGAATGTCACCACAACACCCTTCTAGGTGTTCCATGACTAATTTTAACATTTTTACTATTGTCTGGAAAAACAAATAAATAGCAAGCAAAGAAGAAAGTTATAGAAGTGTATTCTATACACAATTCAGTATAGAAACTGTATGATTTAAATAATAAAGAAGATCAATCTACTAAGGTTAAGTTAAATATCTGCCATTCTAAAATATATTTAAAATGCAAATAATAACTAACAGAGAACTGGTCAAGAAGACTGATAAGGGAGATGAGTTGAGGAGTAAAATGGCTTCCTATTTTCATCAGGGTTAATTTAATTTCAAAACGTACATTTTCATTCCTACCAATGTGGGATGAAAACTGAAGGTACTAAAAATGAGCTACATGAAGTCTGTTAGAC